ATTCAGGACACTGTCACTGAGGACAGTAGAAACATTTTCGTATACAGTAAACAAAGTATTATACAATATTCAAAGGCTATTTTAATAGCAAGAAACTGGCATAATAAAGTAACAGGATTTTTGTTTGGCCATGTCATAGTATATGAAAGCCCCATTTACAGTTATTATAAATCTTGTTTGCTTTGAATTTTATTATAATTACTATTGTATAAATTAACAACAATACTTGTATACATTAAGTCAACTTACTGTATATATAATCAGATATTTTATGTTCTGCTTTAGTTCCCACCTGCAAAAGGCTTGTAGCTGGTGCTATTCCTACCTTTAATATACCCCAGAAAAGCATACCTCTCTACATCGACAATTGGAGCCAGGTAACATTGCTGGTCGTCACACTGGTCAGAGGAGTAAATGGTATGGTGGATTAGAAAAGGCCTTGCCGTAACATAAAACAGAAGTAATCTAGTGAGAACTTTTGTGGGGTTTTTGCACCCAGAGCTGTCATTAAGGGCCTGTAGCTTGCCTACTTCTGTCTGAACAAAGTTCATATAAACAAAACTGTGAAGCAATAAACAAACCTTTTACTTCCTCTAGTCAGAACATCAAAATTAAAACAAAAGATTAAATTATTTCAAACAGGTCAGGCTTTGATAGGATGTTTTGTAATCTTAAGAACTCTGTAAAATACCTTCCAAAATGCAGGGAATGTGTAAAATACCTTCCCAAATGCAGGAGGCATTTCCAATTCTTTAGATTTCAGGGTTAGGGGCATGCACCCAGACCCCTCTAGGAGTCTTGTGCCTTCAATGTTCAATCATTTTTCGGCCACCTACTTGTAAACTTAATGACAGCACTGCTTCAAAAGAGTAATATGCAATAATTTGTACATATGCTATAAAATAATTATTAAAACAGATTATAAATGAATAGGTGAACAAATATAAGACTAGAACAATATATTACCTTAGTTGAATAATTTGTAAAAATTTATACTAATATATACAGTAAATCACTATTACACAAAATTTTGTTTCACTTCAAATAAACAAGACATTGGTAGGCTCAACTTTGAGTTATCATGGTTTGAGAGACAACAACGGCTAGAATCAGAGCACACTGACGTAGTGAATAAGTACACTATTCACATCTGAAATTGGCTGTCAACCAGGGGCATAGGAACCAGGGGGCCAAGGCCCCCAAGTTTTCAGAAGACGCAAAAAGTGCCCTTCGAGTGTGGGGCAGTTAAACAATGAAATGACCAGCCTGCTTGCTGCACTCTTTGGCTGAGAATCGGGCCTTTCAGAACCAGAAATCGGGCTGGAGCACGACAAATGGCAAAATTTGAAACTTAACAGCCATACAGTTTACCAATATTCTCAAAACACAAGGACGTACTGGCATTCTTTTGATACTGCAATGCTATTAAATTGCTCAATAATGTCATTCCACAAACTTTTTGCTAATGGAGGAGCTTGGACATTCTTAATAACTTTATCAACGTGTAAAGAAGTAGGTTTGCCTTAATTCTTGTGTGCTTTCTAAAGCACAATTCAGCAATTCTAGCAATATCATTAAGTCATTAATTTGGTACCCACAGGGCTGACGGCCCCTCTCCAGCAACATAAGCTGGGTGGTCCAAACTCTTCTGATTTCACTGATAATTACTAGCAGAATACAAACATTAAAAAATATTTCCGGGTATATAATCCTTTGCACACACTAGGTAAAATCTTCTGGCATCCAACAGTTGGTCTACAAAGCATTTGGAGAGGAATAAGAACTAAGTTTAATACCCTTAGGTCAATATTGTACTATACAGAGGAAATATCAAAATTTGATATTTCCTCTGTATGATATTTCCTTTGATATCTCATTTGTCTAATATATTATAAGACTTGGTCTTGGAAACTGCGGGATGGGCGTGAAATATCATGGAATCTTGGAATAACATTCTATTTTGATGTGACAGAATGATCAAAAGTAACAAATCACATGTTAGTAGACATTGAATCACTGTATATTGGTCAATATGTTGTTGTTGCTACGGAGGAACTCTGATACCATACATAAAAGCTCTCTGCTGCGAGGTAAATTGTGGCATTGCCATTTCAAAGTGTACGGGGTATTATACGAGAAAATGCGTTTCAGCACAAACAACTCGAAAGCACATGCAAATTCCATGGAAATTCCATGGAACTCTCATGGGAGTAAAAATGAATTCATAATGAACCAAGAACAGCACCAACGGAGAAAAATGTAACGTTTTCATAGGCTTTTTGGAGGATTTGTACTCGGTAAAATCCTGCCGAAATTTTATCATAAATGCAACAAATAGCGACCTTTTCATACATGAACTCAAATAAAGAATACCGTTTGTCATTTCCGTGCGCAATCCACTTTTAGGGGAGCAAAAGTTGACCACTGCTAAAACGACGTGATAAAAGCTGGATAAAAAGCTTTTAGTTTCATTGCAATAGATGCTTTCTACTCGACATGAAAACAGAAGGTAAACAAAGTAAAACTATTTATTTTCTGATTCGTTTTGCAGCATGGACATGCTTGAAAAATGCTTTTTGACAGACAAATACAAATTTTAGTTGCCGAAAAACAATTTGTTCTTTACAACATTTATAAAAACAATTTTGCCCAAATAAGCCCAGGAATAGTCTTTAAACTGCCATGCATTTAAGGTCTTTTTTTTTAATTTGATGTTTAAGGACAAGTTGTACGTTGTACGTACTATTTATATTTATATACGTATATTTTCGAAGAATAGCTGAATATGTAGAACATTTGAATCAAAACATGTAGCACTGGCAAGTGTTTTTCGATGTTTATATTTGTTTTTTTCGCAGGTTGGTCGGAGAAAAGGACATTTCGGGCTTGGCACTAAGTCCACTGAAGCCAATTCACTGTATTTTACTGTCTTTAGTATCGATAGGATGGATTTTTAGACTTTTTGGGTAGTGTTTTGAGTTTGAAAATTGTCTTCACTCCTCGGTTTTTCGCGAAAAAATAACTCTTTTGGACCACGGTCTGACGGTCAAGATATCGTAAAAAGCTGCCACTGCTGCAGCCAATCAGATTGCAGGAAATAAAAAATACCACTAGACATGCACAAATAAAAAAATAAAAAGAGATATTAGATAATTACTGAGTTATGTTGTAATATATTGACTACTCTGTAAGTTATTTTATAGGAGATGTAAACCACAATGTAATTTGTTATTATTTATCACGTTTGGAGACCAAAAGTCAATTTATTTTGATAAATTTATCTAAATTGAATATTCAGTGTAAATTTGGCCGATTTTTATTACTCCGGGTACTGTAAATACCGGAGTATTAAAATGCCAGATCTATTTTCTTGCACCGTACACAACGCACAACAAAAATTATGAAATATTTAAAAATATAGCCGCCGTTCGTAGTAGGTCGATTACTCCGGGTAGTGGTACTGTAAGTACTGGAGTACTAAAATGCCAGATCTTTTTTCTTGGGCGACACAAGTGACTATTAGCCGACTATATTCGCCGCGACTATTCTTCTTTTATCAATTGCCCTTTTGATTGTCATTTATATTTAAACATGTGCGCGAAAGTTGATATGCATGTCTATTCTAATGTAGAAATAATTTATATAAAAAATAAAATAAATATAAAAAAGATTACTAAATTGAAAGTAAATTAATCAACACGAGCTAAAATAATTATTTTGTTAAATTATTGAAATGTAAAGTACTTTCAAGCTTTTTACCCTCGAATTTTTACCCCCGACAATAATAAAGCATAAAATATTTGTAAAATACGACCCCCAACGTTTTATGTACGACCCTCGACTTTTTGTATAGGACACCCGACTAAATACTCTCGACATTGGACCTTCGATACTCGACCCTCGACAAAAACCTAAACTCGTTGCACAGTGCTCACATAATTGATAATGATAAATGATGACAGGACTTCAGTTCTGTAGTTACACTGTACATCTGATATTAGACTAAATGTGATTAAAGCACTAGCTAGAGATAATCTGTCACTGTCTCTTTTTAGTTTTATGTTATAAAATATTATGGTTATTGTGTCTCCATATGTTTTGAGTCACTAGGTGAAGTGACTACGCTATAATCCCCCACTTTTCCAACTTTAACATGCCAAATATCATGGCATTAAAACATACGTTAAAAAGTACCTTTGCGTTTAGTTTAAGGTCCTGTACCGGGAGTGAACGCCTGAGCCAGGGTCTTGTTATGTTTATGAGCCTTTGCATAAACTTGAGAAAGTTCGCGAACAAAATCAAGTATCACATCACTCAGCAGGTGATGCTGTGCGTGTAAGTTGATATTGTTACTGCCAAGATGTTAGAATTTCTATTAAAGTTATTGTTGGTTTAATTTTGAATGTCGACATTTTTACTGTATTTTGAATAAATCAATACCGTCTGAGGATTAACCCGTCACATTAGACATGTCTGTTCTTGTGCGAAACGTGTTTCCTGCGTCTTGTTTCAATATTTTTACTGAGCTTGGCGAGCCACGAAGATTCCACACGGGGGTCGCGAGGATGAAGTCTGGTCTATATAAATCGTAGGAGCCATTTTAAATAAGTAATTATGGTTGAGAGTTGTGACACTATGTAATACATGATATACCTTCTTATTACTTTTGATTTTGTGAAAGTCTAAGTAAAAGTGTATAAAATCAAGAGTATATATGGATCTTTCAAAACGCTAAAATTAACATTAATTTTAAAAGTAATATAAATTTTTAAAACGCTCATGCAGTGCTTACCGATACGTTTTAATAGTCCCTCCTTAATATCAATTGCTTTATATATATATATATATATATATATATATATATATATATATATATATATATATATATATATATATATATATATATATATATATATATATATTTCTCATTTATAGGATACTGTTCAAAGGCAAACCAGGATGACTTTTTACATGCATTTCTTTGTGATCATCTCTCAAAGCATAAGGAGTGTGAAAATTTGGTTGAAGTAACGGAGAGCCGTCGTGTTCTGCATTTTAAGGATTTAGACAAAATAAGTGTCGTTTACTGTGATTTTAAAGAACAAAATGGCAAGGCATTAAACAGAGATTCGAGGAGTAGGAAAGACAATTTTAAAAATATATTGAATATGAAGATAAGAAACGGGTGCCTACAAAAATTTGGTAACGGAACAGAAGATGGCAAAGAGTTTCTCAAATATGAAGTTAAAAATCAGGAGTGGTGGAATTCACTTACTAGGAGCTATACAGTTGTGAAAGGTCCAGGCATGGTAATACTGTCATTTACTTTTCGCAGATACACTACACATAATACATTTTTATAATGGATGTACTTTTAATTTTCAGAGACATAAGAATTTCTCAGAGGCCAACGGTCAAGTAGCGGCTGAACCACCTTCAGATGCAGGAGGTAATATACGAGTCAAATATATATATATATATATATATATATATATATATATATATATATATATATATATATATATATATATATATATATATATATATATATATATATATATATATACATACATACATAT